CGCGCCAAAGAAAGGAGCAAACAGGGCAGGGCTATTTGGTAAACGCCCAGGGCCGTTTTCGGGGATCTTCTGACCCGGGTCAATCCAGACCCGGGTCAGTCAGGCCTGCAAAATCCAGCAGAATCCTGCAAGATCCTGCACCCAAGCCCGTGTCAATGCGAAGGAATTTGCAGGATCCTGCAGGATCCTGCACCCAAACCCGGGTCAATGCGACCCTGGCCCTGCAGGATCCTGCAAGATCGGGCGCTCTAGCCGACCCCCGTTTGCATTGACCCCCGGCTCAAGGCCCCGGACGTTGAAGAAACGCCAACTGTCCGGTCCGGGTGAAATGTTTCCTCCCTCGAATGCTCGCGATCGCCTGGCTCGAAGGATCGCGGCTGTCCGATCGCGCAGATGTGAAGGGGCCCTGAGACACAAAAACAAAAACACACACACACAATTAACAGGATTCACCATATTTCCCCCTATATGTTCTGGATGTTCGTCTTCCCCCCCACTTCCCATATTCTCCCATATTTTTCCTGGGAGTCGACGATTGATTTGTGTCTGTGTGTTTCCTTCCCTCCTGCAGATGGTCCGACGTCGGAACGCCCCGGGGCAGCGGCGGCGCCGCACCCCCCAAACAGGCCCTCAGGGGGCCCCCAGACGGCCCCAGGAGGCCACCCGAATGCCCCCCCCCCCGAGCACGCAAGCAAGTGCCAACGACTCGACGCGTTTAAGAGTCCCCAAGAGGCCACCCAAGGGGCCTCCCGAAAGAGTCCCCATGGGCAGAACTCTTCCAGACGGCCCGCGACGCGTTCAAGACTCCCCCAGCGGCCACCAAGAAGCCTCTCGGGGAAGCCCCCATAAGCAAGAAAACATAATTCTCTATGGGCCGGCGGAGTGAACGAAGCGATTAACGAACCATCCAACACCCGTCACAAGCGGCGAAAATATCCGTATCTGCGCCCTCGCGGTCTGGATTCTCGGGCGCTATCCCGCGGATGTGCAAGGTATCCGCGACGAATCGCACGGATACGTTCCGCGCCCGGCATCCGCGACGAATCGCAATATTTCCGCGCGGGTCGCGGCCCAGTGGCCGGGCCCGCGAGGCCGCCGATATGGATATGCTCTTCGCCCACGAACCCGTTTCCATCTGGAGCCGTTTCCTTCAGGGTGATCTTAAGACGGTCGCACCCATCGCCGTGACCTCTTCTGCGCGCCACCCGCATGGGCCAGAAAAAAGGCCTCGTGCCGACTTTTGCAGCCGCAAGCCGCTTCATGACCTCCTCCGCATCTGCGGGGACCTCGGGCGCAACCTCTGGGGGACACAAACGACACCAATGCCGCCAATCCCACGACCTCTGCACAGGCGCGTTCTGACCAGGATTCCGAGGGACCAGCCCTTGCGACGAGGGGCCCTCTCCAGCCCAGGAAAGGCGAACACGAATTGAGGGTATCGGTATCGTTGTGTTTTCTCCTCTGAGCCTCCACGGCGTACACCCAATATATGTTTGCCTCGCCCCTGGCATTCCTGTCCGGCGGCAGGACCAGTCCAGGACAGCCCTGCAGCAGCCGCGAGTACAACTGCCCGATCTCCCTCTTCCTCGCCACGGCGGCTGGCAGGTGCTGCAGCTGCGCGAGGCCCAAGGAGGCCTACTGAATTAGGGGGACGCTGGCTACACCAGCCAAGTGGGAAAGAGGCATGGCTGGACTCATATCTGCGACATCTGGAGGTCACGGGCTGGATGCACATATGCACATGCGAAGCGCTGGCAGATCGTGCCACTGGGGGGCCAAGCGCCGAGCGTCGGGAAGACATCCAGTCCGCATGTGAGATCACTAAGCTCCCGCCCAGGCCTGGCCACGTCATACGTGTCCAGCTTCTGGCACACCATTGTTCCAAACAAACAAATGCAGGCAACAACGACATATCAACGCCATGGTCGTTTGGGAATTGTCGGGGTGCTGTTCTGGAAGCTCTTGCCGCCGCGGCTGGCCGCGGCTCGGAAAACCGGTCGGGATGGAGCCCTCGCCATCGCTCGGACGTCCATTCCCTGTGCTTGTTTCGGTTTCGTCCGTGGCTTTTTCGCCAAATGATCAAGGATGCTCCTCGATGGTCCTCGCCGAAGGAAAAATGCACGCGTCTGGTCGATGCCAAGAGCTTGGAGGGGATCGGGAGACAAGTTTGAGTGGACGTTGGCTGGAGGATGCCGATCTTACGCCCGCGCCCGAGTGTGGCCAGGTCTGTCCTGCGCCCTCCTGGCCTGTCCAAGACACGTTTCTAGGTCCAGGAGGGGCTTGGCCAGGATCGGCGTGGTGTGCAATCAACGTCCCCTGGACGCCTGCAAGTTCGTCATGCGGTAGTTCCAGCCCAGGTCTTCGTGCACGAAGCGGCGCTTCGCGGGGTCGAAACACAGGTTCCGCAGGAGCCTGCACTTCTCCGCGAGATCTGGGTCGTTCACGAGCACCTTGCCATGGGGGAAGGAAGAGCAGCCGATGCAGACATTTCCACGCAGCTCTCCTGGGGCGCGCCCTGACCAGGATTCCTACAGGAATCCAGCAGTGGCCCTCTCCAGGACGAGCAGCGGTATCGGTACCTGCTCCTCCTCCGACGCCGTGAAGCGAGAGGCTGCCGAGGTGAACCAACCAATCTTGGACCCTGGCCTACGGACTTCCGCAGGACGAGCGGCTCACCCGAGCCTGTGTTGGTGGCCGCGAGGCCCTGGCGGGCCGAGGGCAGCGAAACACGTGGGGGCCTGCTCCCCAGGATCCATCTTGCAATGATGGCAGGATCCGTCGGTATCGGCCAGGGAAGCCGGGTTGAATCGGGACGAGCATCGGATCGGACTGCAGCGGCTGGGAATCGAAACCGAATCGACGACGCCCGGATACACAGCTGCGCTGTGCCAGCGTCGGGCGGCATCGGGCCGCCGCATCGCATCGAGCTGGATGAGCTCGGCATCGACTCGGATCGATCGAATGGACATGGGCCCTGGATGGTGGCCTCTGTTGGACACGGTTCAGCATCCGTGCAGAATCCTTCCCCTGACCCATCCTGAGGTCGATGTTGGCCGAAGGCGCTGCGAGCTGCGCCCCGTCGTGGCGACGAGGGCCCCCGCCCCCCCAGGGCCAGGTCCTCGACCCCGGATCCTCCACCCCTTCCGCGGCGAGAGCACCATGCCCCCCTCCCCTGTGGTGATGTGCTTGTTGGGGTAGAAGCTCATCGTGCTCACGTCCCCGAAGGAGCCGCAGGGGCGGCCCGCGCACGTCTGCCCTATCATCTCCGCCGCGTCCTCGATCACACGGATCCCCCTCTCCTTTGAAGGGGAACGGGGACACACACAAATAAATACACACAAATAAACATATCCCCCATATTTTCCTATATTTTCTGGGTTTTTGTCTTCCCCCCCACTTCCCATATTTTCCTATATTTTCTGGGGAGTCGACGATTAATTGTGTCTGTGTGTTTTTTTCCCTCCTGATCCTTGGCCAGAGCGAGGATGGGCTCCATGTCGCAAGGGAAGTGGTACGTGTGGACGCACATGATTGCCTCCGGGGGGGCGCACGGGGACGCGCGGGGTGCCTCTTGTCAGCCTCGGCTCCTGTTCACACCGCGGCCCATGGGGAGCGATCGGGCTCACAGGGGACGGCCCGACTTGGGACCTCTCGGGGATTCCCTTTTCCCCAGCGGTCTTCAAAACGGCCCCCCGCAATCTCATCACAAACCGACGCGGACATGTGATTCTCATGCTGTGATGCATGTCCGGGGAGCTTGCTGTGCTACATCGCGCCGTTATCCGCGTCGAATCCAAATCGAACCCGCGTAGAATCCGGGTCGAGTGCGTGTCACATTAACGTCGAGCCCGCGTCGGGTGAGAGAAAAGATGTCAAGCTGCAAGATCGATAAGGTTGCAACAAAAACATTGGGCCCTCTGTCAACCACTTGGGGTCCCTTCTTTGGGGGGAGAGAGACGATGCCGATGCCGCTATTTACTCCCCGGACCTCTCCAGGACCACGCTCTGACCAGAATTCGAAGAGAATCAACCTATGGCGATAAGGACCCTCCAGGACGGGCAGCAGTATCGGCTCCTTTCCCTTCGCTGACTCTTGGGGGCCTTCGTCTTCGGCGTGATCTTGGCCGCAACCTGCGAGACGTCCATATTGAAGTCCTCGCCGCAGTCGACCAGCACAGGGACCGAGCCCCCGCGCACCACCTGCGTGATGCAGGAGATCCGCCACCGCCCTTGGCAGCGGCTTGCGTCCGCCGCTCCTCCTCCTCCTCCTCCTCCTCCTCCTCCTCCCTCCTCCTCCTCCTCCTCCTCCTCCTCCTCCTCCTCCTCCTCCTCCTCCTCCTCTCATGTCAAGCCACTTCAAGATGGGGTCCGAGTAGATGGGGTTGCAGGGTCGCGCTGCATCGCAGATGCATCAACGATGCATCGGCGATGCATGTGTGACGCCGGCGATGCGTCGGCGCCATCGGCGTGGAGAAAGTCGCGCTCCACATCGAGCCGCATCGCCGATGCATCGGCGATGCGGCGCGATTCTCCGACCCCATCTACCCGGACCACCTGGGATGCCTGGATGTGTGCGAGGCGAGGGTTTGTCAATGACCACCGCCTTTGGCATCGATCTTCGGGAAACTCGGCAGGCAGAGGATTTTCCCGCCCCCCCCCCGGCCCGCATAGCCATGTACACATATATATATATATATATATGTATATATAATTATATATATATTATATATATATATCCACCGCCTGCCGAGGTCCCCGAAGACCGATCCAACACACGGTGGTCATGAATGTACCCTTGCCTCGGGCCTCAGAAGGATGATGCCCCTTCCTCTCCCTCAATCTCCTCCTCCTTGACACCTCTCGCGACGAGAAGCTCTTCCTCGTAGCACCACCGCCGGGCGTGCCGGCAGGGCGGGGCGGGCGGTCCACCGAGATGTGCCCACGGCTCCTGGCCCTGAACCTTCGACGTTCTAGCAACTAATGGCCGATGTCAAGATGTCGACTCGCCTCTTCAGCGCCCCACACCTTCGTCCTGAAAGCGTCACACTGCTAAAGGCTCTCGCGCCAGAGCCGCAGAAGCTCAAATTAAGCAATCCCAGCATTTACGAGGATGCAGGGCGAACCTTGCTCAAACTATTGCGATCACTGCGATCGCTTTAGCACCGACTGCATTCAACTAATGCTGTCGGTGGGGATGTGTTCGAAGTGCAACCCTCGCTCGAGCTTTGACCAAACATATTAGTAGATGCAGACTTGCACCTTCCCAAGCTGATACACTGGTGGACCAGAGCTATTTTTCGGAATGGGGCGCTCGCTGAGGACGTCCTGATCAGTTGCCCAAACTGTAAAAGGTAAACTAGTAAGACGGATGGACAACGCCCCTGTTCGTCGAAGCAGTACTCCCACTGGACCTTGCCTCTCGTGGGCGCGCAAGCATGGATCAGCGATCCATGGATTTGGCGGGCGGTCGCCAAATCCATGGACCAGGGGAGGTGCCCTTCCCAAAATGCGGCTGGTGCCGCCTCGCTCGGCGGCGGGAATCTGCGATTCCCGATGGAAACGGGACCCGGCCGCTAACCCACGCCCCCTTGATCCATGTTTGCAATCGCCTGATCGTTGTGCTTTCTGACGTCGCCCCTGAGCATCGTTTATCCGATTCCCATCCCCAGCGGCGTGGCCTGGGCCCCGCTGGCCGATTTACCTCCCTAGATAGGGGATGTAGGCCGTTCCCTTCGGGTTTCGAGGTGTGTATCCCCAACTGGGGGGGCAATTTGGTGGGGGTGTCGAAGGGGATGGGGATGGGGGCCGGTTAAACGATACGGAGCCCCGTCGCACCCCTCCCCGCTAGCACGCTGCAGAGCAGCCCTTGCCTGATCAGCACGGGGCTGGGCACAAGGACAAACTAATCAACACACACACACAGGTCCCAAGACTCCCCATATGCTCCCATATCTTCTGGGTTTTCGTCGTTCCCCATTTCCCATGGTTTCCCATACGTTCCTGGGGGTCGACGGTTACTTGTGTCTCTGTTTTTCCCCCTCCTGATCACTCACCACGCGCGGCTGCTTCTTCCCCGCTCTTGCGTGGCCCTCGAGGGGGCCCCCGCCGCAACACCTCTGGCACCCCTTCGGAGGCGACTCGTGGGAGCCTCCCATACCATCTTGTCGGCTCTTGCGAATCGACGCTGCTCGACGCTAAATCGACGCTGATCGACGCTAGATCGACGCAGGCCGACGCTGAATCGGCGGTATCTCACCGACACCAGACGCTAACCAACGCCAAAGACTGAATTAAGACGGTACACCAGGCTCCCATAACTTGCCACCGAACCCCCCTGGCGCCGCGCGGCGCCGAATCTCCGCGGAGGGGCGGAGCGTGCGCGGCAGCGCGGCTGGATGATGCAGACGGCCGGGGGGCGCCGACGGACCGGCCACCCACGCAGCTCCCGGCGGGGCCCACCCGGGGCCTGGGTAGACAACGCGCACGCACCCCTGGCCCGGGCAGGGGGCGGCATGTGCGCCTGCCTCCCCCATGGCTCGGTTGCTGCTAGAAGTGCACCTCGGCCCAAGGTGCCCCAAGGATTTCCAAGGCGGCCCACACGGCCCCCAGAGCACCACCGCTCACGAGGCCCAGGGGGCCCCAGGGGCTCCAACATTGAGCGGAAAGCTGAAAGCATCTTGGGACAGGGGTAAACGCAGGGGCTCTTGCCCCCCCCCAGAAAGAAGAATGGGACTCTTCTCCGCGAGCCTAGGGCAAGGCCGAGAGCTGAAGAGGGGGGCTGGTCTGGTTAGCGGCGAAGAGCCACTGAGGTTGTCTTCAGCAACCCCGGACTGGCCAGGCCAGGAGGGGGCACGTGTACAGTGGAGGCCAGCCCACGCGAAGCCTCCCACAAGAAACCCAGTGCATCGTCTTTTGCTGCGGGAGGCGCCACGCTTTCCATGGCAAAACCCTCGAAGCCCCCAAAAACCCCAGGGCACCCCGGGGGCAAGCCTCCGCTGAACCAGTGCCACGCTGCCGCGCCGCAGGCCCGCCAGCGTCCTCCTCCCTCGCTGGCTGCCCGAGCGCACGGTGCGGCTTCCGCAGCAGCACGCTGACAGGTCCCCCCACAGAGAGGCGTGTCGCTGCTGAGCCCCCCCCTTCCTCCTCCCTCCTCCTCCCCCTCCTCCTCCCCCCTCCTCCCCCCCTCCCCCCTCCTCCTCCTCCTTCCCCTCCTCCTCCTCCTCCTCCTCCCTCCTCCTCCACCCTCCCTCCCTCCCTCCCTCCCTCCCTCCCTCCCTCCCTCTTCCCTCCTCCCTCCTCCCTCCTCCCTCCTCCCTCCTCCCTCCTCCCTCCTCCCTCCTCCTCTCCCGTGCACCAGTCCTGGGCCTGGGATGATCGGAGGCGCGCGAACTGGCTTAGCGATCCATGGATTTGGCGCGCGGTCGCCAGATGCATGGATCGGGGGAGGTGCCCTCCCCAAAATGCGGCCGGTGCCGCCTCGCCCGGCGGCGGACATCCGCGACTTCCCACGGAAACGGGACCCGTTGCAAGGAGGGCGGCGTGAGACAGCGGCAACTCCGCATCGGGTCCGGAACCTCCTCGGATTCCAACGCACAAGGCTTCCAAGCTGCGTCCAGCCGTGGCGCCGCGGGGCCTCTCGAAGGCCAACCACCGCTGCCTCAACTCACCAAGGGCTCCCAACTTCGCGCTTCGCGCTCCGCGAAGCGCGAATAACTTCGCGCTCTCGCGCCGCCCTCCCAAAGGGAGAATAGGAGGACGAGGAGGAGGGGGAGAAGGAACGAGGACCGCGAAGCGCGAAGCGCGAATAACTTCGCGCCCTCGAGGGAGCCCTTGGAAATCCTGGGCCCGTGGTGGTCTCGGTCCGGATCGGTGCAAGGCGGCCAGGTCGGCGCCCCGCGAGAAGGTGGGCATGATCACCTCGTCGCCCGCGCCGAGGCCGAGCGCCTTCACCGCGATGTCGAGCGCCGCCGTGCCGTTGGCGCACGCGACGCCGTGCTTCCGGCCGCACTGCGCCGCCAGAGCCTCCTCGAACTGGCGGACCTTGGGCGCCCGAGTTGTCCGGGGGGTAACTCGGGCACGGGGTAACTCGGGTTTGGATTCCCGGAAAACGAACCCGAGTTAGCCCTGACCCGAATTATCCCTGATGATTCGGGGCTCTGGACGCCCGAGTTATCCGGGGTAACTCGGGCCCGGGGCAACTCGGTTTCGGATTCCCGAAAACCGAACCCGAGTTCGCCCTGACCCGAATTACCGGGTGCACGTAACAGTGACCCTGGATAAAGTGACCTTTGGTGCGCGGCTTTTTCGGGGGCGCGAGGAGGCCACACACAAGCGCGCAAGACACTACTTTCGCACCGAACGCGGCGATCGGGGGACCACAGTGAGCGCGCACCAGTGGTCACTCCGGCGAAGGGTCACTCTTACGTGTAGTCGAAGTTGCCCCTCATGATTCGGGGCTCTGAGGACCCCCGGCCCCTCCGAGGATATCCACCCGGTCTCGATACACTCCGCCACGAACTCCTGCCGGAAAGTCGGCGGTGGACAAAACTCCCTTTAGTAGACCTCCCCTAAGTGAAAACGGCCTGGGACCGAAACCGACGGACCTGGACCCGCAAAAATAACGGCCGCGACGCCCTCTCGCGAACCGAAAACGGCAAATTCCTGAATCGACGTGTCAGGGTAGGAGGTCTGTCCACCCCCGAGAGAGCGCGCCGCCGTACCCCCTCTCGCCCCCTGCCCCCCCCCGGCTGCTCACATCCCTCCTCCCTCGCCGCTCCCCACCCGCTCTCCTCCTCCTCCGGAGCCCGGCTCCGTCTCCTCCTCCGCCCCCTCCTCCGCCGCCTCCTCCTCCTCCGCCTCCTTCCCCTCCCTGCCTCCCTCGCTCCCTCCCTCCCCCCTCCTCCTCCCCCCTCCTCCTCCCTGTGCTGCTTCGATCCGGGTCTTGATATCCTGTGGCCGCCCCGAAAAATAGAAAAGCGCGAAAAACGCGAAAAATAGGAAAGCGCGAAAAGCGCGAAAAGTAGACAAGTGCGAAAATCGCGAAAAGTAGAAAAGTGCGAAAAGTGAGAAAAAATGCGCAGAACATTTGAAACGCACTCGAAAATTAGAAAAGCGCGAAAAGTGCGAAAAGCGAGAGAAGAGCGAAAATGGATACAGCGATGCGCACAAGAGGCCGAAGAGCGCGAAGTGTTCGAATGGCGCGCGAAAAGGTGCAACAAAAAACACGAAACGCGCAACAAACGCAAAAAAAATAGACAACAAGGCGCCGTCGGTGGAGAAAACCGAGAACAGCGAAACAAATGTAAAACTATGAGGACACAGTAACACGACAAATCGGAAGACCGAGACGCGGAAGCCTACGGAACGCTGGGAAGTCAATTCCTTGTGAGAAATTCAGCAATGAGAAACTTGGCAGACAATCCTTCTAACATTGCAAAACCAATAGAAACCGGAGAGAGGAAAGCGAAAATATACATGTCACGGAATACCCCGTTATCCTTCCTCCTCCTCTGTTTTCCTGACATGGGAGCCGCAATGCGCGGAAACGATTAGCAGAAACACAAACAGCGGAAAACATGCAAAACACACACGAGCGCGAGAAACGCGAACCACAGAATACCGAGAACACGGGACGCGCGCAATGGCCCGGCGAAAAACATGAAGAGCAGAAACGCATCCAAAGCGGAAGCATATCCCAACAGCTCGTTCGGGCGCAGGTGGTCTAGGGCGTTTCCTTTTCAAATATCCTTCCCCTCTCTGCTCAGGAGGTTGTCCGCCCCTCCTCCATGGGTCTGGACGGGCTCCCGCGCGAGGTGTCAGAGCGTTCTTTTTGGCCCAAGATGGCTCCAAGACGGTCTCGGAAAAGGCCAAAATGGCCTCCAACATGGCTCAATATACCTCAAGATGGCCCAAGATAGTCTCCGACATGCCTCCAAGATGTTCCAAAACGGCCCCAAGACGGTTCCGAGTGCCCTCCGAGCTCTCCGAGGATCCCCCCAAG